ATGAGAACACACGGGTTAACCCGGGTCCCTAGGAGCTCAGGCTGAGCGTAAAGCACCTGGCGGCGGCTCTGAGCACGGCCGGAACGCACCGGCGCCGCCCTGCTGGCTGTGCTGGGCGCGTGGACGCCCTTCCTGGGAGGGGGCTGTCCTGCCGCGCAGCCCCCCCTCCCCCGCAGCGCACGTGCCTGCGCTCACACACCCGGAGAGGGTGCACGTTCACAGACTTGTCTAAGTCTTCATGCTCGAGGGGCACGTTCCACGTGAGTTTTCCTGAAGGACAGAATTGCCCTGGGCTGAGAAAGGCTTGCCTGATCCCTGAGCAAGGCATTCACGTGTGGCTTAATATTACCTGCAGGCGGTGAACTGTGAACCATCAGGAAGTGGAGTTCCAAGGCCCAGGCAGCCTAGGGTCTGGCCGGAGGAGTCACCGTCGGTGGGTCTCATGGCCTCGAACCGGCCCCCACTTTCCCAGTCTCCCTGTCGGGGCAGGGCAGACGACACTGACGGTGTCCAGAGCCCCCCTCACGCTGAAATGCCACAGCTCTGCCCTTCGGCATCACCCCGGACCAGACACGGACGCCGCTTCCCCGGCCCCGGAGGAGGGACCCGGAGGCACGGGTCTCCTGCAGGTGTGGAGCCTGGCTCCCTGCATCCTCGTCTGCCAGGAGCACCGAGAGTCATCTAAGCTCTTGGAGGTCGTTGCTCCCACCTGTGGCCTCTGGTCACCCACCCCGCCCCCACCAGCCTGGGAAGATTCGGTACATAATGTCTGTGAAGCACCTGACCTCACCGGAGAGAAGTGAATCCAAGGGATTAAAAATAGAAGCGAGACCAGAAGACGTTTAAAAGCATGGCGAGAAATTTCCTGTGCAGCTCGATAAGCCTGGCGGGCTGGACTGGGGGTGAAGGACGGCCTTCCAACCCGGGACCCGGGGAGGGCGACCGCGAGCAAGGCGTCAGGAGGGGACGCGCAGCAGTCAGATACAGGCTGTCGGCAGGAGGGCAGGTGCCCCTGTGAGGACGGGGGTGGGGGGGTGCGCCCAGCACCGGGGGCCGGGACGCAGTCCTCACCCTTCCCCGGGCCTCCCTGGGCTGCGCCCCTGCGGAGGGGTGACCGGCTCACTTCTCAGCTTCCATCCTGTCCTCTGATGCTTCTGCCTCAAGGATTCGGTCAAGTCCCTCAGGCGTCTGGGGTCTGACCCCTTCTGCCTGGGAGGCAGTGGCACACAGAGGCCGAGAATCCCGACCATAGACCTTGGCCTGAAGCTCGGTTCTGCCACTTTCAAATATTTCCCCAACGGTTTGTTATGAAACATTTAAATCAGCAAACTGAATGAACTATTCTGGGGACACCCGTACACCCCCCGCCTAGACTCTATGTAGGCAGCACCTGACGGACGTCTGTCCTTCTGCCCAGCCCCCCGCCGCCCGCCGCCCAGCCGCGGACGTATCTCAGATCCAGCATCCCCGGTGAGGACGTCACACTCGCTCCCTCACGCAGCTCTGCCCGCCGCGGCTGTGTGGTCTTGGCTGAGTCAGTCTCCACCTGTCCCTCGTCTGCAGACGTGCCTGTTGTGGCCCGCCCAGCACAAGCTGCATGTAGATGTTCATGTGCCTACATCAGTGGGGCTGGCACGTGGAGCACTGAATGCGCGTTAGCTCTCACCGTGAGAAATCGGACGCTGCAGGACTCACATCCCTGTTCCAAAGCAACTTGTCCCCAGAAAGACCAGAGCCGTACGGACGAACGTCGTCTTGCACACGGGAACAAGACCAAGAGACAGCCCGCAGAGGAGCCTGTCCGCAGAGGCCCGAGCACGGCCACCCAGCAGTGCTGCTGGCACCAGGCCCTGTCCTCAGCCCCCGGCCCGCGGCGCCCACTCCCACGCCTGCCCGCAGAACACCTGTGGAAGCCTGGGCGTTTGCTGAGGATCCGGACCAAGAAAACAGGCTCTTGAAATTCAGTGGACTTTGTCAGAAGTACCTTAACGCCTCTGTAACGTGTTCTGTTTGAGAACCAGACAGAAAATCACGACTGAATTATTTGGATGTTACTATGCTCTTTACTGAAAGTTGGAATCTTCCTTTCGTTAGTTCACTCAAGTCTTACACGAAACTGAACTAGAAACAGGTTCTTCACTTAAAGGGAAGAAATCTAATTTAAACTGGTAGAAAGCAGTCCGATTTCAGCTGTGCAGCCTGGAGGGCCTGGCTGTGAGCACAGGGCGGCCGCACGGGCTGGGCCAGGCGGCCCGGTGGTGGTTCTGGTCTACCTGTTCCAGGACAGAGGCGTGGACCCTCCTCCCTGGCCTCCAGCCCAGTCAGCGTGGTGCGCGGGGTTGAGATCCGGGAGGGGGGGCGTGCGGTGGTTTGAAAGCACTGACAGGACAGAAATGAAGTGGACTCCGTCTCTTCTCTGAGCTTCTGCCACTCTGTCGTTGTCTCCCAGACCCTAGCCCCCGGGTCACCCCCCACAGAGGTCCTGCCCCTCCCTCAGCAGTGTCACGGCCCCGACCACACACCCTGCCGCAGGAATCCCCAGCGGTCAGCCTGGAGGACTGTGACCAGTGCCCGGGGATGATGGTGTCCCCAGAGTCACGTCAAACAGGAGCCTGTGAATGTGGCCTTATTTGGAACCAGGGTCTTTGCAGACGTAACCGGGTTGAGACGAGGTCTCCCTGGCCAGGTGCCGGTCCCGGCCCAATACAGCTGGTGTCCTTATAAGAAAAGGGAATTTGGACACAGACACTGGGAAGACCACATGAAGACAAAGGCCAAGATCAGAGTGGCGCGTCCCCAGGCCGAGGCCGGTAGGCAGTCAGACCCAGAGAGATGAGGAAGGATCCCCCCCCCAGAGCTCTTGAGGGGAGCTGGGCCCTGCCAACACCTCGCCTCTGGACTCTGGCCCCAGACTGCGGGAGAGCGGGTTCCCGCTGCGCGAGCCACCCCACTGGCCCTGCCCGTGGGCAGCCCCGGAAGCCGTTCCCGGGGGCGTTCCCGCCTGGGAGCCATTGCCTGTTCTGAGAGCAGGATCACGCTCAGCCCAGGAGGAGAAAACTCAGCCGGGGAAGGGGCAGCCGGGGAAGCGGGTGAAGGGGGCGGTCTTCGGGGGCCCTCGGCGGCCTGCAGCTCACGGGAATGTGCAGGGGAGCTGCTTCCACGCCCCTCTTCTAAGCAACGGTGTCCCGACCGCCACGTCCACACGAGGGTTCGCAAGACCTCTTCCAGGGGACGCTCAGACAGACCTCCCGCCGAGGGGACGCTCGGCTGAGAGGAGGGAGCTCACCCATCCAGTCAGCACACAGCTCAATAACTCTCAAAAGGCTGACAGTTACTGTGTGCAGTTTTTGTTTTGTTTTTCTAGGCCATTTTCTAGTAAAAAATGCAGCCAAGTCCAGTCACACGCCCGGGGCAGTGTCCTACCTCCCCATCCTCAATTACACCAAAAACACGAGTTTTTCTCCCCTTTTACCCTCGTTTACCTGCTGACAGCGAGAAACACGGGCCACCTCACACCATGCCCTTGACGATCCGCCAGGTTGAGAACTGGCGCATGAAGTGGCCCCACCTGGGGTTTAAAAAGGCAGAGCAGACCAGAGCAGTGAGACTGTCCCCTGCCCCTTCCCTCACGGCATCCGGAGCCCCAGACCTCCCAGGGGCGGCCGTGCAGGCAGGCCGGGCCCATGGAAGCCGGGGCCACGCGTTTTCTAATGACCTACCGTGTGCGGCTGAAGCAAATATTGAAGCAAACTCCAGAAATACCTACACGGAGACTCAGCATTGCTTTTGTATTGATCGCGCTAAACTGCTTAATAATTCATTTGCTCATCTCAGGGTCTGAATGTCTTTCTGTTTGTTCTCAGCATCGTAGACAAAATGCTGGGCGAGGGGCTGCAGCTCAGGGCCTCCCTGGGGCTGCACAGTGTAAGGTGAGCGTGGGAAGACAGGGCCCTTCGTGCCCAGCCAAGAGCGCCTGCGCTCAGCTCCAAGGTCACAACTCGTAAGAGCCTTGGCAGAGCTGGACAGACACCTGGGAGGTCCCTGGGGACCTGAGACGTGGCTGACCCTGTGGGAGGGCCCTGGGGACCTGAGACGTGGCTGACCCTGTGGGAGGGCCCTGGGGACCTGAGACGTGGCTGACCCTGACGGAGGGCCCTGGGGACCTGAGACGTGGCTGACTGTGGCCTTGCTTCCACCTGATGAGTGCTCTGAACACGGTTAGAAGTGAGCGGGCTCACCTCCGAGGTCACTTCTGTCCTAATACTGGATCCTCACGGGCTGTTTATGTAGCCCCATGAGAGGGAAAAACCAGAAATACTGGTCTCCTATCTGCTTCCGCCTCTTTCAGGGAGGCCCGGGGCAGGGTGCCTCAGAGCATCCTGCTGAGCGTCCAGGCTCAGACCCACCACAGGTGCGTGACCCTGCTAGTCCTCAGAGCCGAGCGGGCGGGGAGAGTCCCTGTTTCCTGGGCTCTTACCTAATTCTTAACCAGCCTCTTCAAGTTACAGATTTCACAGCTAAATACATGAATATGATCTTGCTCAAAGGATTTGCCAACAGGAAGTGCTCTGGATCTGGTCGGTGTTTTTGTTTTGTTTTTCTCAACAAGCACAGTGAGACATGGACTTCCTCATTCCAGGAGGAGGACACGTGCCACCCCGGGCCAGCCCCCCCAGAGGGGACAGGAGCCGACACCCAGCTCGGATCCCACGGGGATCCAGAGCTTCTAGCAAAGGTTCTGGGGCCCCGGAGCAGGGCAGGGGGGCCGGCGGTACTGGTCTCACGCTGATGGCAGACCCTTCGGTCCACCCAGTGGTGCGGGGAAGGGAGACGAGCGTGTGGGCACATGAGGGCAGGACCGCCAGGCCTCGCCCTTGAGGCAGATCTGAGTGTCTCATTTTTGAGTCTCAGGATGTATTTTCCCTGGGACTTCGGGGTTTAAGTGAGTGGAAGACAGAACACAGTGAAGGTGGGGCCCTGAGGCCACATTTCACACTTTGACTCGTTTGTTCATCCATCTGTTCCACAGACACTCTTCCAGCATCAGCGGGGCCGGCACCGTGTGACGCTGAGGAGCACGATGGGGACGAGCCCCCGGTGGCCCCGTCACTCACCTTGGGGACGAGCCCAGCCAGTCCCCCCCACTTCGCACAGGAAGACTGACCCAGTCTCGCTTGTCGTCAGCCTTGCTGGGACTCCCACGCTGCGTCGCAAGTGCGAGGCATCCATGTGGACAAGGGCGCCTCGCCCGCAGCCTGTCCGGGTCTGGGAAGGAAGGGGCGGCCATCAGGGTTACTTACTTATTTATTTAATGGAGGTGCTGGGACTGAACCCAGGACCTCACGCAGGCCAAGCTCGTGCCCTCCCTCCGAGCTGTGCCCTCCCTCCTGGAAACACTCCCTCTTGGAAGGGACCGTACACCCCTGGCTCCCCTCCTCCAGCCTCTCCGCAGCCGGAAACAGTGGTGGGACTGTGCCCTCCTTCCCCAGAGCTGCCAGGTCTCTCCTGTCCCCACCCTGAGGCCATCCCCAGCCCTCTCTCTTCACGTCCCGCCCCCATCAGCAGATCCAACATCCAGCTCTTTAACAAGAAGCATTGCCACTGAAGATTAAAGGGGGCCCTCGACACCATCTCTCCCCAGCAGGCGCACTCTCTTCCCGTGTCCCCTCTCCCTTTGTTCATCCCAGACAGTCTTACCGGAAGCCCCACCACAGTCTCTGCTCCACGTCAGCGCCTTTTCCCTTCTCCTCTGAGTCCACCATCATTCCTCGACCTCCTGCCCTTTTGTGGTCGTCTTCTTACTGGTTTGGGGGAGGAAGTTGCCCAAGGCGGCCAGTGCAGTGCTGAGCGGTGGAGGAGACCAGGCAGGTGATAGCACAGTCTTCCACGTGAAGACAGAGCCTCATGCCAGGCAAATAAATTAGAAGATGTTTCCTCAAAAGCTTTGAAACGCAAAGAACTATTCAAGGTGGAACATGCAGGTAATGACAGTAAATCCCCAAGGAACCTTTGAGAAGCAGGCGAGGCACCGCGGAGTGGCCACACGGGCCTTACAGCCACGAGGGAGGAGCAGATGCCCCTTGAAGGAGAGGTGGTATGTTTACCCCCCATTTTACTGCAAGAAAAGTGGAAACTCAGCAAGAGGCAGTGCTGTGCACCGGATCTGAGACCTGGGAGGCAGCTGACCACAGCACTGCCCGTCCTGTTACAAACCCTGGGCTCCTCCACTGTGAGGCCCGAGGCTCCTGGGCCCTGAGATGCGTGGGACCTTTCCGGGCCCCGCGTAACCTGCCACAGAGCTCTTTGGCCGATCCCGATTTTAACGCTTGCCACGTAGATGAGGTCTGGAGAGCACTGAGGACAACACTGGCGTTTGGCCATTCAGAACCTCAAACGAGCTCCAGTTTTAAGACGAGCCTTTGAAGTTTATTCTTGAGCAAAGCTCACTGACTGTACGCCCTCCGTCTGCGATCCCAGGCCGTGTGCTGTGCGCAGGGAACGTGCAGCTGTGCTGGAAAGGAGGCTCGGAAAAGCAAAATGAACATAAAACCACTGCAAAATGCCCTTCATATTCATGGTTTATTTGTGAACAGACCTCATCACCACTTAGACCACAAACTTTGTACTATAAGTAGAATTTCTCAGGACAGTGGCTAACTTAAATTTCCTTCCTCCGACCAGCTCTGATGAATAATGTACCACGCCTTATCCAAGAAGCTTGTCAAGTTTGACTCAGAAAGTGGGAAAGTAAATGTAGGGAAGGGAGACCTCCAGATCAGCCGAGCACATGAGACCTACAGTGAGAACAAAGTATTATAAGCACTTAGAAAAACTGACCAAGGGCAAGTCCTCCCCTTGGTCCCTTGGAAGATGCAAGAAAATGCACCGTCATTTGTGTAGAACTTCGCTGAATGGCATTGGTTTGCTGCGTACGAAACGTCCCTGTCCTTGGCCCCTGCCTGGCACCAGTTACCCCGGGCAGCCATCTGGTAAGGTGCAAAGAAACTGAAGCCCTTCCGTTCACTCTGGACAAAGGGGATTGGGAGCCCCTGGGAGCAAGGCTGTCTCCAGTCTGCAGGGAATCGAGGCTTCAAGGACACAGCTCCGTCTGCTCGGCCAAGAGACCCTCATGCCAACAGGCCAACATCGCCGGCAGCTGCCGCCGGCAGGTCTGAGCCACCCTCGTGGGAGCAGCAGTCCCTGGCGCCCCAGGGGGAGAGCGCGGGGACCAGAGCTGAGGGGGGAGGTGACGATGAACATCAGAGGGAAAGGAGGGAGACAGGAGGCGCGCCCGTGTGCCGTGGGGGGCTGGGGGAGGTCTGCCCCTGCCTCTCTCCAGCAGGTGTGCAGGGCTGGCCTGGGACGCGCTCCGCTCCTGGAAGGAAGAGAAAAAGAGGCAACCCGGGTCAAGAGGAGGGAGGTCTGTAGGTGTCAAACAAAGATTTTTGATTAAATTCAGCTTAATTCAAATTCTTTAATGTTGAACCAAACGCAGCTGCAATTTTTCTAGGTGAAGTGGGTCAAGTAGGGGTGCGGTCACTAGTTCCACCTAATAAGATGTTCCAGGGTCCCTCTGGCTCAGGCCCACCTGTGCTGCCCCCTCTGGGTCAAGGGTCAACCAGTCTAACCTCTTAACTTACCACTGGCCTCCTGGGAGGATGGCGGTTGCTACCAAACGTCACCTTTGTGAACAGCGCAGTGGTGCACACGTGAGGGAGGCGCCCAGGAGCCGAGCCTCTCCCCTCCCAGACGCCGAGTAGCGAGCGAGGGTGTCCGGGTGAGGTTCTGGGCCAGGGATGAGCCCAGCACGCGGATCCGCAGCCCTGTGTTCACTCTGCGAACATCGCTGGAGACCCTGCTGTGTGCTGGGTGCTGCCAAGTTTGGGGGGAGTGGACCAGAGAGACGTCATCCCGCCCTCCGACCTTTCATGACCTAAAGTATAAAGTTAGGTCATGGTTTCTCCGCTGTGACACCAAAAGCTTACGCAGTCAATGAAAAATAGATAAACTGCACTTCAGCAAAATGAAAAGCTTTGTATCGAAAGGGATTCTGCTAAGAAATAGCAGAAAGCCCGTAGAATGGGAGAAGACATTTGCAAATCATGCACCTGGTGAGAAAGTTGCATCTGGAGTGTATATAAAGAGCCCTTACAATCCAACAACAAAAGCCCAGCCCATCTTTTAGAGAGAAGCGGACTTGGTGGGGAGGGGGGCGCTGTGATAAAGTGTCCTGTGGTTTGGACGGGGCTGAACCGACAAGCATCCCGGGGGCGGCACCGCCAGGTACAGAGCAAGAACGACTCTGCTCGCGGGAAATCCGATGTGTTTCAGTCTCGGCCCTAGAATTCTTTTGTCCAAGAGGTTCGGGTTGTGACAAAGCGCAATTTGCGTTGTTTTTGCTTCTGCGCGGGCTACTTACAAGACATATTAAGCAAGTACCTCACCCACAGTTAACCCGCGATGAGGGAGACGGAGGTGCCACACGGCCAGTTAACAGAGTTCTGGCGACAGCTGCCCCCGGAGCAGCTGGGCCTCCAGCGAGCTGGCTGTGCCCGTGGGCGGCTGTGGGCTGCGGGCGAGGGGAGGGCACAGACGGGCCACTGGTCTATGGTTGTCCTCCAGGGTCACAGTCACTAGGAGACTGGAGACACAGACAAGGTGCAGCTACAGAATAAGACTCAACTCGGCTGTTTCGGGGGGAGGGAGGGCGAGCTACACGGCTGGCAGAAGACCGTCTAAGGTGCTTCCCTGGGTGGAAAGGCACGTCCCAAGGCGTCACAGACACACACGTGTGCACGCACACCGGGGGCCTGGGGGGCCGGACGGGGGTTTGTGGGAAGAGCTTTAGATTTCCTCCTTATGTGCTTCCATGTTCTTTCGTTTTAAAACAGCTGAGCGTGTCTTATAATGAAAAAGCATTTGAACACAGGGAACTACTTTCACACACCCTACACTGAGAAGAAATCCTGTAATGAGTGTCACAACCTGTAGTGAAGGGAGTGTGAAAAGGCACATCCACGTGCAGCCGGAACCCAGCGCAACGCTGTGCGTGAGCGACGCTTCAGTTAAGAGGAAGTCATCAGTAGAGGCTTTCCGACCTCCCCCCGACAGCCAGGCCTCCAGGGCCCTGCTCCTCAGCCCCGTTTGCAAGGTGAGGCTGCGGGGGGAGTGGCTCCGGGGGTGGACGGAGCTGTTTCCTGGGCAGACGCGTGTCCCAGGGGGGTCCCAGCTCGCCCACTGGCTCCCCCGCGTGGGGGGGCCGGCAGGCCGGCTGTCCACGGGTCTGAGCCACCCGCCTCGGGTGACACCTACGGAGGCCAGAGACGGACCCGGGCTGCGCGACCAGACGTGCAGCGGTGGGGGCGGGGGGGCCCTAGCTCCTCCCCGCACGAGCGGCGTCCAAACCTGTGAGGTCCCCCCTGAGGCCCCCAGGAGCCACCCCTCCGAGGTTCTCCTGTCTGGGCACAAAGAATCACCCACCTTCTCGAGCTCTTCGCCCCCTCTCGTCTCAGGTTCGGGACATTCAGCCGCACAAATGCTGTTCTCTGGGCCCCTCGGAAGGAAGGAGGCACAGCCCGCCCCCCGGGCAGAGCATCCCTGGGGGGCTTGGGGCACCGGAGGGTCTGGGATCCCCCGCCTGTCTCCACCACCTGCTACCTCGCCGCGGCAGGTCCCCTGGGCCTCTGTAAAGTGAGGGGCGGGGCGGCCTTCTCTTCACACCCCTCAGCGTCAGGAGAGCCCGGGCAGACAGGGTCCTGACTACAAACTCTGTGCCTCCGGTAGGTTCTCCGGAAGGAGGTCCCCTCGGCCTTACTTATCTCCGAGGCCTCTGTCTTGCCCCGGCCACACGGGGGTGGAGTCCCTCTGGGGGGGGCCAGGAAGTGCAGGTGGAAGGGAGGGGGAGCCCCCGCCCCACTGCCACTTGATGTGGCTTTGCGGCCCCCAGGAGAGGAAGGACTTGGCTGCTCCGCGACGGGGTCTCTGAGAGGGACCAGGACCTCTGGGGGGCGTAGCAGGCCCTCGTGCACCTCAGGCCGCCCCCGGACCAGCAAGGCGACAGCGGTGCGCACAGCCGGAGGGGACCGGCGGGCGGAGGCACTGAGCAGTTCGCTGACGTTTCACCACAACAGGGCGAGCGCAACGCAGCCCCCACGGCCCAGGACATCCTCCCGCAGCCAGTGCCTCTGCCTGGTCCCACACTTTAGATACAAACGAGTTCTTTTTGGTGACACCTTTCCTTTCACCAGACAGGATAAATTGCCTTCATTGCCTCCTGCCTTCCTGCTCTTTAGCGACTGGTGCGATCTCAGGGAAAGGTGCGCTTTTTCTGTAAGAGGAAGGGAAGGAAGAGCCCAAAGGCCTAAAGGCAAGCGG